GCTGGCTGTAGCAGCGCTATAGCGCTGCACAGCCAGCAAAAACGCATATTGTCGAGAGGCTGTCTGTGTGTATGTGTGACGCTTTCAGAATTGTGATACATGACCTTCGTACCACAAGAGCCGTAGAAGGTTGTACGTCTCGAATCGAGCTGATTTTTGCGGTACGACTTTATTTGGGACGGGGGACAAGGCGGTATGACTGGATTTCCCAGCAGATCGCTCTAGGTACCAATTGCACTAGGATTAGTGGGTATACGACGCTCCTGAAACGTTTGCGAGGAAGAAGTATGTGAAAGACAGATGCCGCGCTCGAGCTGTACAACTATGCGCCGACCCTGATGCTAGAGAGAAATACGTACTTTTGCTGGCGTGGTCGGAATCCGATACGATGGCTTGGCTGGCCTGGTCAGCATTTTGTTATATGGCGAACACACCGCGTATTCTGCTCCATCATCCACTTCACTGTTGAAATACTTAAAAACTCTTATTATTTTCCACTGCTAACAACCGCAGTTCGATTTCTTGTTTTGAAATCCCGGGGGATATATGCTTTCACCACTTATCGATCAAAAAGCACCACATTCACAAATACAGGAATCCAATAAAAAGTAAATCAAATTTGATTGATTTGGATGGAGATTTTGAAGCATCCATTCCCTGGCAGCACAACAAAGTACTTTCACCGACGTGATTTCAGTTAGGTGGGAGGCGTAAAATATAGCTAAATGAAAAAAAAGAAGTGGAAGTTCTGCCTCCTGATTCACAGCAAAGTTGCAGCAACTGACCAGAGGTCACCAAAAGTTTTTTTGTTATCGGTGTGAAGAGCTACTCTTTATGCCGTTGTACGCGGACTTGTCGTCTACACTTTCGCTCTTCCTGACTTAAAATTTTTGGAGCGCCGTGGGCAGATTCGTAACTGACTGTCATCTTGGAGATGTCGGTGAAGTGGAAAAAACGAAGACTGGGCAGTGGGTTTTGAGAAATGATAGGAGAGATGCTAGGAATAATGGAGATTACCTTCTCAGGAAGCACATTCATCACATATTTCTCGATCACATCTGTGCTTTCGCCTTGTTTGTTTTGCGTTGCGTAAGTGTGAGCATAAATTGGTTGCATGAAGACGTACTCTGCCTGATCAACATCACTTTCTTTCTCTTCCATTTTACTGATTTTTTTCACCTCTTCAGTCGGGAAGGCGTACTCTGATGGCGGAGGTTCGTCCGGTTCCGCTTGTTTGGTTCCCTGAAACTGTCTGACCTTTTAAAAACTTTGTTATTTCCGACAGAACAACGTCTTCATTTTGAGTTTATTTCATTATTTATACGAGTTGAACAGTACAGGTATCAGATGCAATAAAAGATTTTAGCATTATTGGTGCTCGTCAGTCGGCCGGAAAAAGCTGCCAAAACTAAAATAGCAGTTTCTCTCGGCTTTGAAATTATTTCGTTACATGTGTTGGTCCTGGATCGGTTCGGCGATGGAAAAGGACAAGCGCGCGCAGTGATGAGCAAGTCAACCTGCTCAGTGATTTCCA